CGTAGACTGCCAAAAGCCGCCTGACCAGGCTCTGCAATGTGATTCAGGTGGAGGGGGGAAGTGCTGTCAGACTCCAGGGACCCTTCCCCTCAGCTCCCTCTTGCTCCTCTAGGTGGACCCTTGGGTTTCTTGCCTCCTCCCAGCACCTGCTTGTCTGGCCCATCCCAGGAAGGGGTGGGCTCAGGGCCACTGTCCCAGAGGCGCTGGTGGAAGGGCTCTAGGCGTTGGCGCTGTAGCTCAGTCAGGGCCCGTGACACATCACCTCCATGCTGGAACAACGCCTGGAGAGACCCCTCCTCAGGCCCAAAGCCTAGAGACTGAAGCTCCTGCACCTGCAAGATGGGAGTGGTGAGAGGGAGTGAAGTGGGAAAGCAAGCAAGGGAGAATGTGAGAGATGCAGACTCTCGACCCTATCCCATATCCAGCACAGCTGATACCTTCCTTCGCCTGGTCCTCACACATTCCTCCACAGCTTCATCAAGGTTGCCATGACGATCCAGCCAGGCTTTCCGGGCCTCCTGACAGGAAAAGGCACCCAGCCCAGGGTCCTGCTGTCCAGCCAGCTCAGCCACCATCTCCAGCACGTAAGGCAGTTCTGAGCGCAACCACTGCAGAGGCACCTCAGTGCCCGAGTACTGCAGAGCCGAGAAGATCTCCTCTGGACAGGCTCCTGCGGCTTCCCCTTCCTAAGGCAGAGTCCTGCCCATCAGGCCCATCAGGTGGGGCACACCCTTCACCCGCCCTCAGCCTGATCTAAGATGGTGACAGTGGCCCAGCTCAGACATATGGATCATGTCATCAGTGCACAGCATGGTAGCTGCCTCAGTAACAGGGAGCTGCTGCTAACAATGACAAGATTCATAGAAACTATTAACCACCTGCAGCATCTCCTTTCCCACACCAGCTCAGCCCTACCTCATCCCAAGCCCAGTCCTTACCCGGATCATGCTCACTAGCTGGAGGCCTTCCTCCCGCATCTTGTCTTGGCGCTGCTTCCCAGGGTCTCCACAGGAACTGGGCAGGGAGGCACTAAGGCGTTGTGGGGGCCCAAGCTTAGGGGGACCCTTTTCCAAAGAGCTGGCATAAGGCTGGGGGGCACGTTGTACTGGAATGGGGCTACTAGTCCGGTTGCACATTACACACACCCAGCCAGGGCTCGAGTTGCAGAAGGTACAGTGAATACAGTACCAGACATGACTCTGGGCAGAGGCCAGCAAAGTATCCCCCTGCTGGGAAGGCAGAGAGAATTATCCCTTTGACTGGCTGGCTGAGGTTCACAACAGAAATACAGGGAGTTGGGAGGAATTGAAGGAAAACATGGGATAGAAAAGAAGAGAATGACTTGAGGTAACACACAATAAAGAGCTGGGAAGGCCAGGAACAGGTTACCTGAAGGGGTTGGAGGCAAATGCCAGCATCTCGGGAATCCACCACCAAGCTGGGAGGCTGGGCCAGCCGAGGTCGCTCACATATGGAACACAGCACAGCTGCTGCCTCATTCTCAAAGGTACAGCTCTGGCAGGCCCACCGACCCCTTGCAAGATCAGGTTCTAGGCCTCCAGTTCCTTGGGCACCCTCAGTTCCCAACCCCAACCCCTTACAGCCTCGGGGCCGATCACAGGCCACACAGAGCACTGCCCAAGGCTCATTTAGCATGGCACAGGCAGCACAGTGCCAGGGCAAACGAGCACTTGCAGGATTAGGGGAAGAAAGAGAGCTGTCCCCCAGTGCCAGCAGGGAGGTCGACTGGGGCCGTGGTTGGGCTGAGGCAGGTAAACTGTAATGGAAAAGCAGACATGGCCTACTGAAGCGGCACCTGGTGCCTGGATCCCTCACCTCTAAGCATTCCCCATTTCCTGGGTAACAACACATGTCTCTGGCCTTTGCACACATTGTCCCTGTCTCGAACACTCCTATACCCATAGCCTATGCAACATTTAAATGACAGTTTAAAGCTCACTTCTTCCTAGTAGACACTGCTAATACATGGCCTGACCTACACTAGGTGTTTAAAATATTGCCACCTGATTCAGTTGACCCTTCAGACTAGGTTGCAAACCACCTACTACCATAACAACCTGGGTTACTAAAATTGCTACTTGTTTGATGTATACGTCTATTATCTCCTTCAGGGTTCTGACTGGCTACTTCTCCTCTATTAAACAGTCTTTAGCACAGAAACTGGCAGGTAGTCCATAACCAAGTGATCTTAAGTTCTCTAAATTTCGCTCTCATCCAGAAGAGAAACTCTCTCACCTGGGGCTTAGGTGGGTACCCTGGAGGACCCCAGGCAGGGTCTGGCGGAGGTGATGAGCACGGGATGGGTGTCCATGGAACAGGTGGTCACAAGCTGGACACAGGGCCTGTTTACAGGATGGGCAGTGCAGTGTGCCTGGGGCAGAACCACAGAGGAAGCAGGGACCAGGAGTGGAGCCTGGAGAGCAGGAGACATAGAACATCTTTCCAAAAAAGACCAAGTTACATCTGAATCTGCTGTGGATGGGGGCAAATCACAAGACTACTTTTTAACACATCTGGCCCAAGGAAACAATTTTAATCTCTTGTAAAAAACAAAGAGGCTGGACACGGTGGTTCATGCCAGTAATCCCAACAATTTGGGAGGCTGAGGTGGGTGGATCACCTGAGGTCGGGAGTTCCAGACCAGCCTGACCAACATGGAGAAACCCTGTATCTACCAAAAATACAAAATTAGCTGAGTGTGGTGGTGCATGCCTGTAATCCCAGCTACCTGGGAGGCTGAGGCAGGAGAATCGCTTGAACCCGGGAGGCGGAGGTTGCGGTGAGTGGAGATCGCACCATTGCACTCCAGCCTGGGCAACAAGAGCAAAACTCTGTCTCAAAACAAACAAACAAACACAAAGGAAGATAACCAAGAGGAGCATCCCAAATTTCCATCAATATAGCTTCCTACTTGGTCCCCAATTTAGGACCAATAATACCTGGGGCAGAGGGTGTGGTGAGGGGGCCAGGAGCAATCTCTCTCAATAGGGGGTCAAATTCTGAAAGCTGTAGCATCTGAAAAAGAAAGGGCAGGGAATGAACAAGGGTTTAGGAATACAGAGTCCCACAATTCCTGTTCCCTTTGTACACCAGCCCCTTTCCTGCCTTCCTTACATCATCTTCAACCTTGTCTTCCAACAGCTGCTCCAGTGCCTGTTGTCTTGGGTGAGTATTCTGCAATAATACAGATAAAAACGGTTTCCACCTAGACCCCTAGAACAAAGCCCTCCCTCTAAGCCCTGGTCCCTTAACATTCACAGAGGGAAAATCAGTACCCGGAGCTCCCAGAATACTGAACTACGCCCATAGTTCAGCAGCACAGGGGTCCTCAGACTTACTTGAGTTAGGCTGGGCTCCCCAGCCCTGGTGCATAAGTCCATCAAGACTAGAGGAGCATCTCACCTGCAATAGCAGGCTGAGCTCTGTCCGAAGCAGCAGTACTTCCAGTGTGACTGTAGCAACCTGGTGCTCATTTGGCTCCTCTTGTCCTTCGGGGAAACTCAACCCATCTGGCTGCTCCTCTGTATAGCCATATAATCGCAGCACATCTCGGCCCCCCTGCCACACATTCACAACCAGTCACCACCCAGGAGGCTTCCTGCCTAGTAGGGCTGGACCCCTCCCCATTCAGCACAATCTCAGGCCTTTTCTAGCCAAACCCCAGCCCAGACCCAGCCCGCTCTCCCATAAGGCCAGGGGATTCACCTGCACAGCATCCACCGTGCTGCGAAAGACAGGGTTATTAAACTTGACGCCGCGCCAGTACCGGGGCCGCTGAGGGCTGAGAAGGTTGCGACCATATTTCTCCAGGATGTTCAGGGCCGTGGACAGGGTACTGAGGTAGTTTCGGGGCTGGGAGCAATGAGAGCAGAGAGTTGTAAGCGTAGCCCGGGCCTCAGGCCCTGGTGCCCCCTTCCAAGCGGGGCCGGGCCTCACCTCCCCATGGGCGTTGCAGCGGACCAGGCGTGCGGCGTCCAGCTGCAGGTAGCGGGCGGTTGGCGGCAGAGAGCTGGCTAGCAGCGGCCGGAGCTGCTCCAGGGAAAATGCCTGCCCGGAATCCCTCCTCAGGGCGCTCGCCAGCTCCTCGCGGGCCACCAGGAAGGCCCGCTCCTCTTCCTCCCCCGGCATCCTGAGAAAGGAGTCAGCCCCAGCCTTGCTGCCCGCCGGGACCCGGCGCGGGCAGCGCGCGGCCGAAGCGCCGCCCCTCCCGTCTGGTGCCCGGCTTTGAGGCCCACCCCGGCCCGCGCACCGCCCCAGGTCACTCAGACCACGGTCATTCTCCAGCCCCCGGCCCAGTGCCAGGGTTAGCCGAGAACAGGAAGTACTAGGAAAGAGGGCGGGACAGCGACCCAATTTCAGAGGAACGGGCGGGGCTTAAGGTTAAGGTGGGAGCGGGTGTCTCGAAACCAGGGGGCGTGGCCAAGAGGGAGGGCCAGGTCCCAAGCAATGAGAAGGCAAATGGCTCCTGGCTCCTCCCTCAGCGCGCCCCAGCATCTTCCCTCAGTCAAGCGCTCTTCCCCGCCTTCCTCCAGTCTGGTTCCACCCCTTCCGGATAGCCCCAGGCTCGGGGTTATCCTATTCAGCTCAAAACCTTCCTTTTTCTAGCTGGACCAGTCCGCTACGCTCCGGGCCTCACCGGGGAAGTCCCACCCTGCAGGGGAACCGACTCTCGCCGGCCCTAGCCCCTCTTGAGCGAGTCCCGCCCCATCTCCGGTCTGTCCTGAAGGCTGAGGGAAGACCCTCACCCAGCCCCTGCCCTCTCCCTTCTAAGGGCGGCTAGCCCTTCTCCACCCCAGGCGCTCCCTCTGGCTGCCCCTCCTACTCGCTCTCATCTCTCTCCGTCCGCTGTTTGCGGTCGAGACTTCTTGGGGGAGCCCCGCCACTGGATACCCCCTTTGCCATACTCCCATCTCTCTTACCCCGACCCTGGACTTCTCGTGGGCCCTAGCTATAAGCACCGCCCCTCTCCAAGGGACAGCCCCCGCTTCAGTCTCCGCGGTCCTACTCACCCCAGCCCCTCCCTCGGGCAGCCCCTGGGCTTGTGACCCAGCCAGCACCGCCTCTCCTAGTGGCAACTGGCTGGGAATGGCTGAGGGGCTACCTACTGCTTGCGGCCTGCCGGGGGAGGAGGGAGGCGGAAAGAAGAAAGGGGGCGGGGTTGAGGGGGGCGGGCCTGGACCTGGGGAGTGAAAGCGAAAGCCCGGGCGACTAGCCGGGAGACCAGAGATCTAGCGACTGAAGCAGCATGGCCAAGCCGTGTGGGGTGCGCCTGAGCGGGGAAGCCCGCAAACAGGTAATGGTGAATCGGAGGCCAGGAAGGGGTCATAGAGCCCTCTTGGGGGGAGGCCAAGCCGGGTGGTTCAGGGGACCAAAGCAGTGCCAGATAACTCCCCCAATCTCGCTAGTGCCTTCACTTCTCGGGGATTCCCAGATTCCTGCCCTCTGACTGCAGTGAGCAGGAGCTTCCAGGGGAAACTGGCTTGTGGTGAGAAAGGCCTGAGCCACAGTTGGAGGGCACCCTGTTGTGGGTGGAAGCTTTTGACAACCCAGACCCTTAACCAACATCCGGGTACTACTCTCTGTGTAGGTGGAGGTCTTCAGGCAGAATCTTTTCCAGGAGGTAAGTCTCTGGATTTGAGCGATTTGACCCAGAATCTTAGACCAATACTTGAGGATAACAACCTCTCCTAATGACCCCCTCAAGTCACCCTAGACTTAACCCTACTTCCCTTACCAAGCCTTCACCCATAGTAACCCCGGAATTATTGATAGCTACCTTTAATCTGACCTTTCTTATGACTCTCCCCACTTCTGGCACTTCTCCCCTCTTTTGATGTGGAGGAAAAAATCCATGGCTCCCAAAGCAGGAATAGCACAGTCCTAACCTTAGTTCTGCCACTTACGAGCTTGGGCAAGTCCTTTCATTTTCAGGTCTTCAGTTTCCTCATTTGCAAGTCTTGGACCCAGTGATTTCCAAAGGCCCTTCCAGTTCCATTTGTCAGACATCTCATTGAGCATATTCTGTGATTCCCCTCCCTTGCAATGTAACCCACAGGCTGAGGAATTCCTCTACAGATTCTTGCCACAGAAAATCATATACCTGAATCAGCTCTTGCAAGTGAGTAGTGTGGGCCCCTCCTGCCCCTTCCCATGTCCTCTCTCCCCTTTGCCCATCCTCTCTAGCTAACAACTGGATTCAGCATGCAGAGAATAGTTTCAAGTAGTGGACTGGGAATATTAGGATGGCGTGAGGCATGAGCCTAGGTTGGGAGGCAGAGGGCAAGTGGGATGTATGGAGGGAAGGCTGTGACCTAGGATGAAGGGAAGAGACTGGGCAGCCCCTGACAGTGAGCTCTTTGCAGGAGGACTCCCTCAATGTGGCTGACCTGACTTCCCTCCGGGCCCCACTGGACATCCCCATCCCAGACCCTCCACCCAAGGATGATGAGGTGAGGCATTCAGGGTGCAGGACTTGGACTATAAACCCAGTGGAGATGATAGCCCTTCGACCTCTGTGACTTTTTCAAAGCTACTTTCCCCCTTTTTTGTCTTAGATGGAAACAGATAAGCAGGAGAAGAAAGAAGGTAAGAGAGATAAGAGGTGACTAGGGAAGGGGAGATGGCACATTGGCTGCTGGATGAGAAAGGGCCTGAATCCCCTCTTTCTCACAGTCCCTAAGTGTGGATTTCTCCCTGGGAATGAGAAAGTCCTGTCCCTGCTTGCCCTGGTTAAGCCAGAAGTCTGGACTCTCAAAGAGAAATGCATTCTGGTAAGCCGGGGAAATGGGGGAGGTGGAAAGAGAAGATACACAAAGTGAGGCCCTGGACTCCTCCATAGATACAAGTCCTTCATACAGAGACCTAGTCCTGAAAAAGAAAACTTCCTTCTGTGCCTTGGGCTTAGATCTCCTTTGTTCTTATTCTGTTAGACCTCTCTTATCACAACGGTACCCCCAAAATTACAGACTGTGCAGTATCCACTCTGTAACCTCAGAACCTACTGCTCTATCGGGTTCATAGTAGAGGTGGCATGATATAGTGAGTGAATTGTTTTAAAAGATTGGACCCTAGAGAGAGACTGCTTAGGTTCAAATCATGATTCTATCAGTTACCTAGCTGGTAACCTTAAGTAAGTCACTTAGACATTCTGTGACTCAGTTTTTTCATCCGTTAAATGGATACAATAAATACGTGTCCCTGATGGTTGCTGTGATGATTAAATGAAATAAATACATGACACAGCGCTGGTGTGTAATAAGTACCCAATTAAATATAACAATTTTTAAGGAAGTGACAATAATAGGAAGAACTCAGTATGTTTGTTGAATGATTTTTACATGATACCTCTTAACACAGGTGATTACATGGATCCAGCACCTGATCCCCAAGATTGAAGATGGAAATGATTTTGGGGTAGCAATCCAGGTAAGAAAAGGGTAACTGAAGACACTTAGAGTGGGGAGAGCCTCGGAGGGTGAGCTAGACATGAACCAGAAGGAGGAGGAAGATAGTGTATGAAATGGGGAGGACATGAAGTGTTGTCTTTGCCTCCCGTGTCACCACAGGAGAAGGTGCTGGAGAGGGTGAATGCCGTCAAGACCAAAGTGGAAGCTTTCCAGACAACCATTTCCAAGTGAGGGCAGCTGGAAGACCAGCATTGGGGGCAGTAGGAGCATTTCTTTGGGACCCCCAAAGCTAGGCATCAGGATGATGGGAGGCTTTGGGAAGGGTCTGAGGGAGTACATCTCCCTGAACACTCATTCCTGTGGTATTTCCTTGCTTCTGGCAGGTACTTCTCAGAACGTGGGGATGCTGTGGCCAAGGCCTCCAAGGAGACTCATGTAGTGAGTGGATAGTCCACCAGCCTTTTAGCTGGGGGTGGGACGAGGAGGTGTGGAGGAAGAGGTCCTCCTTGTCTTGTTTGTGACTTTCCTAATGTGTAGAATATTTAGCTAAAAGCATTGCCTAGAAAAACCGATTAGGGCTTCAACAACTTTGACCCTTTTCTCTGTTCAGTCCCTTGGGATCCTATTTCTTGGTGCTAAGAAGGGGTTCATTCTCAAGTTAACTTGTTTCTTATAAAAGGAAACCAGACTCATGTCCCAGCCTCCCATGGGACTGACACAGCTTTGCCTCCCGCACTGCAGATGGATTACCGGGCCTTGGTGCATGAGCGAGATGAGGCAGCCTATGGGGAGCTCAGAGCCATGGTGCTGGACCTGAGGGCCTTCTATGTGAGTCTGGAGTAAGGCCTTAGGGGAGGTGGATGAGTGGGGGCGGGCAGAGGATTGGCTAAGAACCTGACTCTTGCACTCTGGCCTTCTCCCAGGCCGAGCTTTATCATATCATCAGCAGCAACCTGGAGAAAATTGTCAACCCAAAGGGTGAAGAGAAGCCATCTATGTACTGAACCCAGGACTAGAAGGAAAATAAATGATCCATATGTTGTATGGATTCCCTTCCTGCATGTGTCATTCATTCAAAAAGCATTTATTGAGGTGGCAACTATGTCCAGACTGAAGATGAATGTGGTGGGAAGGGGTGGGTGTCATGACTTAGATGCCCACTGTAATCTTTTTTTTTTTTTGAGATGGAGTCTCGCTTTGTCGCCCAGGCTGGAGTGCAGTGGCACGATCTCGACTCACTGCAAGCTCTGCCTCCTGGGTTCACGCCATTCTCCTGCCTCAGCCTCCCGAGTAGCTGGAATTACAGGCACCCGCCAGCACGCCCTGCTAATTTTTTGTATTTTTAGTAGAGATGGAGTTTCACCGTATTAGCCAGGATGATCTTGATCTCCTGACCTCGTGATCCGCCCGTCTCAGCTTCCCTAAGTGCTGGAATTACAGGCGTGAGCCACTGTGCCCAGCCAGCCCACTGTAATCTTAAGAGGTCCTCCAAAGGAACAGGGTGGGGATTGTTACATGCCATGACAGCCATGCAGATAACCTGTATTTTAGAATGTAACAGTATTATTTTCATCCAGAGGTCTCAGGAATTAGTGGAAGAGATGGCATTTGCAAAGAGCCCTTATGGGAATAATCAGGCTTTGGATAGACAAGGGGAAAGTTCTGTGGCCAACATCAGGAATGAAGAAAGAAGGAATCCTCATCAGTTTAGGAAAAGACTAGAAGGAGAATGAGGTTTCACTGGGAGAACTATGGAGAACTATGGATGAATGATTGGACTCCTTTTTTTTTTTTTTTGAGATGGAGTCTTGCTCTGTTGCCCAGGTTGGAGTACAATGGCATGATCTTGGCTTACTGCAACCTCTGTCTCCCGGGTTCAAGCAATTCTCCTGCCTCAGCCTCTCGAGTAGCTGGGAGTACAGGCGTGTGCCACCACACCTGGCTAAGTTTTTGTATTTTTAGTAGAGTCGGGGTTTCACCATGTTGGCCAGGCTGGTCTTGAACTCCTGACCTCAGGTGATCCACCCACCTCGGCCTCACAAAGTGCTGGCATTACAAGGCGTGAACCATGGCTCCTGACCTGGACTTCTTCTTAAGGAAGGGCTGGGAGGGAAAAAAATAATGCTTCCAAGGCATTGTGGTGAAGGAAATACACCGCAGGACATTATGGGAAAGATTCATCTGTAAGTTTTTCTTACTGTCCTCCCCTACACCCCCTTCAGCCAATCACTGTCTTTATCTCTGCTTTTCAAGATTCAGCCCTGGGCTGAAGACAAGGGTTCCTTTGCTGTGATCTTGCTATAAACTCCATGGGATTGTTCTTTAATTCAGGGCCTTATCCTGTCATAAAATATGAGATAAGAACGTGCTGCGAAGCACTGGACAGGCTGGAAGCCTGCCCCCATACATATCTCATTAAAACCTTAAAGGAACATGGGCAAAAGATAAACCAAGGGCAAGAAAACCTGCAGTCGCGAAGGTAACACGGATCATTAGTGACAGAGCCGATCTAGAGTACAGATCCACTCCTCCCATAATAGGCGCAAGGCGGTCTGCTTTGCCCGCAGCCCTTCGGAACACCCGGCTACGGGTTAGCGCTCCATCCCCGGGGCTCCGCGGAGCCGGTGGTGGTGGGCAACACAGGTTAACAGGCAAAGCCAACCAGCAACGAGAGCGGAAGTCGGGGAACCTAGCCAATAAGTGCGGGCAATTTTCTTTGCTTCACAATGGTGGGTTCTTTCCAGTCCGCTGGAGACAAAGGCGGGGCAAAGTTGGGGCGCGGCCGCTGATTGGACAAATTGAAAGCCTTTAGCCCTATCAAGGAGCACCACGTGGGCGGGACTTCAGGTGCCAGTTCTGCAGGGAGCTGCAGCTTGCCCTATCTCCCAGGCAGGCGCTGAGTCGCAACCGCCAGCTAGGGGCTCGGGAAGGCGGGGCTCGTATGCAGTCGGGACCTCCTCCTGGGCTGGGCTTCGGGCGGACTCCCGGACCCCGGGCGCCGGGAGCCGGCGGGCTACCTGCGAGTCGAGTTAGCGTTGTCGCCGAACCGAAGTGAGAGGGCACGGGGAAGGGTCAAAGAGGGTGCCGAAGCGCTGGAAGGAGCTTCACGGACGCGAGCTAGGCACCGGCTCGCCTAATTCGGCACTAATCCGGCTTGCTGCTTCCCGGCCAGGCCCCGCTCGCCATGGGGGAGGTGGAGATCTCGGCCCTGGCCTACGTGAAGATGTGCCTGCATGCTGCCCGGTACCCACACGCCGCAGTCAACGGGCTGTTTCTGGCGCCAGCGCCGCGGTCCGGAGAATGCCTGTGCCTCACCGACTGTGTGCCCCTCTTCCACAGCCACCTGGCCCTGTCCGTCATGTTGGAGGTCGCCCTCAACCAGGTGCCTCCGTTGGATGCCCATCCCCCACCGCGAACCCACCCAACACCCCAGCCCAAGTTAATCCCCGGTCCCTTGGCAGCAGTGCGCATCCACAAAGCCAGCGGCACAATTTAATTACTGATGGCCCCTTTCCCACGACAGGTGGATGTGTGGGGAGCACAGGCCGGTCTGGTGGTGGCTGGTTACTACCATGCCAATGCAGCTGTGGACGACCAGAGGTGAGTGGCCTAGCCAGAGGAAGAAGGAAAGGATTATGGGGGGTTGCGGGTTGGAGGAATAGAGGGCGAGGATGCGTGGGGCAGTGGGTGGAGGGGGGCGCACAAGATGAACCAAGGTCATTCCTTCTATCTTTCCTTCATCAAACGCTTAGGAGCAGGGGTTTTACACCAGGCACTATGCTGGGTACTGGAGTGAGGAAATATAAAGATGAATAGGACAGAGCCCTGCTCTGGAGTGCCGTTTGGGCGGGGAGGACAACTGTGTATCAACAGACTGATTTTTTTTTTTTTTTTTTTTTTTTTTTTTGAGACGGAGTCTCGTTCTGTCGCCCAGGCTGGAATGCAGTGGCGCAATCTCGGCTCACTGCAACCTCCACCTCCTGGATTCAGGATCCTTCTGCCTCAGCCTCTCGAGTAGCTGGGATCACAGATGAGCGCCACCATGCCTGGCTTTTTTAATTATTATTTTTATTTTTTTGTTTTTAGTAGAGATGGGGTTTCGCCATGTTGGCCAGGCTGGTCTAGAACTTGACCTCAGGTGATCCACGAGCTTCAGCCTCCCAAAGTGCTGGGATTACAGGCGTGAGCCACCACTCCTGGCTAACAGACTGATCTTGCTTTAACTGAGGTGTCCCCCAAGTGCTGAAAGAACAGAGAAATCCCAACCAGCAACTTCAAAAATAAGGCAGTTTCCTTATATATATAGGAAAAGACAATTATATATATATAAAAATCATATACATGAAGCAGATTAGAGATACTGTTTTGTAATTTGCGTTTCTCCCTCACTTAATAAATACCTGACATCATCCCATTTCCACAGCAAGATCTACCTTTCCCTAACAACTGTATAGTCTGAATATGGATGTACTATGATTTATTTAATGCTTCAAACATTGAGGTTGTTTCCAATGTTTTATTACAGACACTGTCCTATTATTACCGTAAATTCTTTATAAGTAGAATTTCTGGGTTAGCATATGTATAGTATGTAGTATGTATACAGTTTCAATTTGGATGGTTATGCCAAATTACCTTCCACAAAGACCACCTTTGGTTTCCACTCTCACCAGCAGTATCTGAGCACCTGTTTCCCACAGCACTCAAGCATCAAGCAGTCGTACATCAAGCATCCAGCAGGCCCGATCCCCGCAGGCCACCTACAGGGAAAGGCCACAGCTGCGCCCACATCTATGAGACCTGGGAGGCCCAGCTCAAATGGATGGGTTTTGCCCACAGTTGGCTCCTCACTCCTCTGATCTTCCCTCTACACAGCCCTGGGCCCCTGGCCTTGAAAATTGCTGGGCGAATTGCAGAATTCTTCCCTGATGCAGTACTTATTATGGTGAGACTTGGGTTTCTGGGTGGGGAGGTGAAAAGAAAGTAGGGTGGGGGGACCCTTGAAACTCTCACTTGCCCTTCCTTGTCCGCTCAGTTGGATAATCAGAAACTGGTGCCTCAGCCTCGTGTGCCCCCGGTCATCGTCCTGGAGAACCAAGGTCTCCGCTGGGTCCCTAAGGATAAGAACTTGTGAGTACCCCACTCCCTCTCTCTCTTCTTAGAAGCCCAAGATTCCTGGGTCTCCTCTGTCCTTGGCCCTGCCCCAGGGGTCTTTCTCTAGACCCAATCTCTGTCAAGTCTGTGTCTGGCCCCACTACTTGCTGTTTGACCTCCATGGGGGTTGCTATTTCAGAGTGATGTGGAGGGACTGGGAAGAGTCACGGCAGATGGTGGGAGCTCTACTGGAAGATCGGGCCCACCAGCACCTTGTGGACTTTGACTGCCACCTTGACGACATCCGGCAGGACTGGACCAACCAGCGGCTTAACACTCAAATCACCCAGTGGGTTGGTCCCACTAATGGAAATGGAAATGCCTGAGCCAGGGCCAGCAGGGTCCAGATCCAATAAAGAGACTTGGGCTGATGGGCAGTGGTATAACTATATTTATTGTGCCTGGGAGGCAAGGTGAGGGAAAAATCTCAACAGAAGCAAGTTTGGGGAAAATCTGGAGTCCCCAGTAAAAAGTAGGAAGGTCTCTGCTGTACCCATCCCAGAATGGGAGAGAGGGCTCTCAATAGATCATTCCCTTTGTTTCTCCCCTGGGCTTCTTGAGCTTCTCGAAGTTCTTCAGGATGATGTCATATAACACAGCCTACAGGGCCAGGGAGGAGTGGAGGTCAGTCAGAGGCCTCCAGTGGCTCTGTGCCCCATTTCTAGCCTTGTGGAGAAGCTGAGCTTTGTCACCCTTTACCCCCAGTCTGCAGGGTCAGGGAGTGCGTGGCCTGGGAAAGCTGCCTCTGCCCACCCCTGCCCTCGCCTCCTCACATAAGCATTGCGGATCTCCATGACCATCAGCCGGATGTCCCGGTACTCTGCCTCATCCAGCTCGTGCACCAGCTGCCGATAATCACCCTGTGGGAAGCTCGGGTCAGGCCTGACCTTACATGAGTCCTTCCCTCATGCACCCTGACCTGGGCCTCACCTACCACATGAGGCTGCTTGGCTGCTTTAGTCACTGCATCACCACGCTCAGAGAAATACCTGTGGAAGGAGAAGTGTGTATGGAGTCGAATAAGAAGGTCTCTGTCCCAAAACAGACAGTGTGTACATGGGTGGTCACTCACTTAGAGATTTGGGTGTGGAAGCCTTCTAGCTTGGTGTGGAGGCTGGTCATCAGCTCAAACACCTTCTCCTAGGGAAAAAAAGCAAGGGGGAAAGTAGAAGGAAGCATGGACTAGAAAACAGCAGGGAAGTGGGGCAGCGCTCTCACCTGGACAGCCACTCCAAAATTGTTACCATCCTCAATCCGAGGTATCTGAAGCTGCAACCAGGTGGTGACCTGGGAAGAGGGAATGGCGTAATGCCACATCAGCCCTCTACCCAATTCCCAGTTTCATATTCTCCCTTGCTTCCCTCCCCACACTGGGTGGAGGCATGCCAGGTCTCTCCTGAGCCTCAGAGCTGGGACTTCTGGTTTCACTTGCTGTGCCCTCTCTTGCTAAAACCTGGCATGTGCCAGGCCCTAAATGGCAGGGACAAAGAGGACAATGGTTTGACTTAAAGCCTGAGAGTTGAAGGGGGAGGGCCTACCAGGTTGAGCTGCTCAATGACATCCTTGATCTCAGGCTTCAAGCGCTGCAGAAGGACCAAGATCTTTTCATTGCAGTTCACTGGGCCACAGGGAGGACCTAGAGAGTGAGCAATGGGTCAGTCACATGATTGAGCCTGTGTGAGGGTTGAAGGGGAGAGTGGAAAGAAATCCTTAGGAGGAGCTCCTGTGGGTGGGACTCAAGTCTCTTCCCACAATTGTGGTTTCAAGTACCTTTGTCTTCATCCTCCCCCTTCTTCTTTTCATCCTTGTCTTCCTTCTGCAGAAAAAGAGGGGCTCATGAGAGTCAGGACTAAGGTTGATTACCCCCATGGTTGGATCCCTTCTCCCAGGTCTTCCCAGCTTGCCTCCTGCTGTTTCTTCCGTTCCTCTTTCTCTTTCTCCTTGACTGGATCAGGCACTGGGATGTCCAACGGGGCCTTCAGATTGCTCAGGTTGGCTTCATTGAGAGCTGGCTCCTGGTGTAGGTTGGGAGGAGGGCTGGAGGTGAGGGGGTTCCTTTCACCTCACTCTCACAGCCCCTGGCCCTTCTCTTGGCCTTTACTCCCTAGCTCCCTGCCCAGCCGCGGTACCTTTAAAAATGCATCCAGCTCAGAAATCTTCTTGGGGAAATAGCTCCCGAGCAGGTTCTCTGTCTGTGTGTGAGGTGGGATGGAGGAGGATGGGAGTCAGCATCAAATGCCCATCCTAGGTGGTGAGGCAGGGTTGAGCAGTAGGAGTTGGGCAGGGGTGGGGCCGCTGATGGGGCATGTCTTACCTTGGTACAGAGGTCTTCACGAAACACATCCACCTGTGGGGCACATGCATCCCTTCAGAAACTTGGCTTTAAGGCCAGTTCATTTGAGGACAGTTCCCTTAGGGTTATGTAGGGCCTGACCTGGGGAAGGGTGGAGGGGATCCCTCTAAGGCCAGACCTGAAGAAAACGAGATGGATGCCTGTGGGGTGGGTTGGGGTGGTGGAGGAGTGGAACTCTGCAGACCTGGATCTACGGAGAGTGGAATGGGTATCCCTAGGGCTGGATACGGGGGATGAGAACATTCCTGGCAGTGAAGGGCCAGTGGTTCACGTGAGAACAGATCCCTGGGGTCACCTGGCAGGTGTGAGGAGGGGTGCTGAGAGCCCTCTGCGAGCAGGACAGGGACGGGGTGGGCCCCGGGACCCTCCCTACGGGAAAGGCCAGGAGGTAGCTGGGGCAGTCCCGCATCCAGTCTGTGTGTGGCCCCGGCTCCAGGCCAGCGGAGTTCCCCTCCACGCCAGCTCTCCGCTTCACCTCACCCCACAGAACCACGGCCGCCTCGCCTGTCCCCGCAGGCAGCAGTCACCGCCCTCCCCGGGGCGCAGGTGCTCCGGGAGCGCCAGCTCGGCAGACTGCCCCTGACTTGTGTGGGAGTCTGGGGGGCGGGTCGGGGATGCCCCCGGCCGCTCGAGCCACGCCTCCCCAGTGGGCCCTTTCTAGACCCCGCGGCGCTCACCTTGGCTTGGGCCTCGGGCTGAACCCTGAGCGTGGCCATGACCGGGACGGGGGGCCTAGCGCCGCACGAGGAGCGCAGTGGGCACCGCGAAGGGAAAGCGAAAGCGGCGCTCGCACCACTCACGGCCTTCCTGGGTAGTGGGGCGGGGAGGGCTGGAGGAGGCGGGGTCAGCCCTGCCAGGGAGAGGGGCAGTGCCGCAGAGGAGGGCGGTGGGTGCGGCTCCCCCTAGCGCGCACAGGCTGCCTCGCGAGGGCCAGTTTCCAGCCTCCCCACCCCCGCCGGCCGGGTCCCCGCCTCCCCGCCCTCCTCTCGTCCCCGCCTCCCGCCTCCCGCCTCCCGCCTCTCGCCACTCGCCGCCCGCCGTCTGAGGATGCCGGGTCCTCCCATGGTCTAGTCTAAGCCACTCTCCGCGCCCCGCCCTCCACCTTCCGCCTCCCAACTGGCTCCCCACCTGCTCTCTTCTTCCCCTGCTCCGCCTGGGACAGATAAGCCTTACTTAGGGCTCTTCTGTCTTTCCCCAGAAATGGAATAAGACCTGGCCTCTCTTTCCTAGCCTTGCTAGCGTGGGCCTCTGGCTCTGCCGACATCCTCCGCACCTGTAGCAACACCGGCACCAGAGCCGACAGCATCCCTATCCAAGCCCGGACCAGCTCTCTCCTGGACCACCGCGGCATATGCCATTCTACAACCCACTCTCACAGAGCAGCGGGTTCATGCCTCTGTCTGGCTTAAAACCCTTTCTCAGCTGCCTGTTGACCTTAGAATGAAATCCAAAAGGCTGTTGCAGCTGTCTCCCCTTTAAGTTCACTTTCTACTGCTTGCCCCTTCATTCATTACACTTGCAAATACTCGGGCTATTTGTTTCCCAAATGTGTCATGTTCATTCCTGCCTCAGGGCCTTTGCCCTTGCTAATAATCCTTTGTCTAAAACACACTTACCCTGGGTGTTGTCTTTCGGTTCTCAGTTTAGATGTCACCTCTTCAGAGACAAATATTTTCATCATCCTCTATAAGGAACCTCCCTCCAAATGCATTACAAATCAGCCTATTTTAGTACATTCATAGCATTTATCTCTGATATTAGCCCGGTTTTGTTTTTTGTTTTTTTTTTTCCAGGATAATTCACTGATTTAAACCAGGTTTTGGCAAACTGTGTGTGTGTGTGTGTGTGTGTGTGTGTGTGTTGGGGGACAGAGTCTCACTCTGTCACCCAGGGTGGAGTGCAGTGGGACGATCTCAGCTTACTGCAACCTCCGCCTGCTGGGTTCAAGCGATTGTGCTGCTTCAGCCTTCGCAGTAGCTGGGACTACAGGCGCGTCCCACCACGCTCGGCTATTTTTGTATTTTTAGTAGAGATGGGGTTTCACCATGTTAGCCAGGATGGACTCGATATGCTGACCTCGTGATTCGCCCGCCTCGGCCTCCCAAAGTGCTGGGATTACAGGCATGAGCCACTGCGTCTGGCCAGCTTTTTCTATAAAGAGCCAGAGAGTAAATTGTAGGCTTTATGGGCCTTACAGTGTCTGTCTACTCAACTCTGCCATTGTAGCAGGAAAGCTGCCATATGTAAATGAATTAGTATGGTGAGATCAATAAAACTTTACAGACACTGGACTTTGAATTTCATGTAATTTTTTCCTGTAATAAAATATTCTTTTTCTTTTGCTTTTCCAACCATTAAAAAATGTAAAAACGGCCGGGCACAGTGGCTCATGCCTGTAATCTCAGCACTTTGGGAGGCCAAAGTGGGCAGATCACTTGAGGTCAGGAGTTCGAGACCAGCCTGGCCAACATGGTGAACCCCTGTCCCTACTAAAAATACAAACACTAGACAGGTGTGGTGGTAGGGGCCTGTAATCCCAGCGACTCGGGAGGTTGAGGCAGGAGATCACTTGAACCTGGGAAGTGGAGGTTGCAGTGAGCCAAAATTGCACTCCAGCCTGGGCAACAGAGTGAGACTCTGTCTCAAAATAATAATAATAATAATAAAAACGTAAACAACGTTTTACCTTTTTCTTTTTAAAAAGTTTTTGTAGAGACAGGGTCTCGCTATCTTGCCCAGGCTAGTCTCAAACTCCTGGGCTCAAGTGATCCTCTTGCCTTAGCCTCCCAAAGTGCTGGGATTACACTGCTATCACCGCCAGGTCTCTGCCTTAAAAAAAAAAAAAATATATATATATATATACACACACACACACACACACACACACACATATATATATAATTATTTAATTATTAGCTCGCAGGTCATACAGAAACTGGCCACAGGAGGGTTTAGCCAAAATTTGAGGAATTAGCCAAAGTTTGCTAATTCCTGGTTTAGAGGATAGATGATATACCCAT